GTCCGGGACCTCACCTGACAGCCACGACTTCTCAAATATGATGGAGAGCGGCTCAATTCACTGCTGCTACCAGCATTTCCTAAGTCATGTATAAAGGTTTATCCAAAGGCCAACATTACAAAACTGCACATTCTGAATAGACAGACTCCACATTGTCTTGTAGTCAGGATTACAAACTGTTTAACACACACAAAAGAGAACACTCTTAATATGCTCATAAGAGATGAACCAACCCTTTTATTGTCAAAACACACTATCCATCTGAAATTACAAACTCATTTTGTTAACTTTATTCACAGTAATTAAATGCAAATATTGAACAAAAGCCCCTGCCAATTCCTCTTTGATTTCTGTATCTCATCTACATTAAGTGCATCGCTTTTAAAGTACCGTAACAAATTAATTTAGGATGTCCTCTACCATTTTTCAAATGCAAATTGCAATGCTGGACTTGAAGACTGAGTGTTGAGCTTAACAGAAGCTAAAACCAGATTCAGACTATGAAATAATGAAGTGAATACACCTTGCAGCCAGCAAATAAAACTGAGAGCAGAGTATGTAAAAACTTGAACCCAAAGTGCTATTGAAATTTGAAGCTAAGAGGACAAGATTCACTGCACGCTGCAATGTCACTGCAAGAATCATATGGCAAGCTGGACTTCTCACTTTATATTGCCACCAAATTCTACCACTGCAATTCCAGTGCATGACCACTTGCAGCTTGTCTTCCTCTCCCTGCCTCCAGGTGAATTCCCTTGCTTTTACACTTAGAATTCAGTTTCTGTTTTGGAACTCAACTCACTGCATTCCCCTCCTGCCTTTAATGTGCACTCCCATAGCTTCTTTGGGACTTCTGCTGAGCTTAACATCAGACTTAAGGGTTTCCTAACAAAGAAAGCCTTCTGTTAGCACTTGGACAGAAAACAGCCCAGAAGCCAAGGCCTGGATCTGTCACAGAAGAGTTCAACACCACCCTGAACTCCTCTATGGGTGAAAAGCTAATAACACAAATCCCTTCACCAGAATCAGAAGTTACAACACAGCAGTTTCTTGGAGATGCACAAAAGTGGACAAAAGAGGTCTGCAACATAAGCAGAGTTTCCAAAAGGACAAACAGCTACTCTGCAAAGCTCACTCCACGATACACCAACTGATACACATCAACAATTCTAATAAATTAATAAATTATTTAGTGCCTTTCAGAAAACAAAAAACCACAAAAGCAATACCGCCATAACAAACAAAAGAACAAACAACAAAACACCAGAAAGTAACAACAGTCCCCAAATAAACAACAGCATGAGGTTCGTAGCAAAGGAAAATAACCTACCAGTCTTGGTAAGTGGTGATTGCAATACTTGGAGGTGCCAACAAGGGCAGAGTTGTTGGTCTACAGACGATGTCTCTGTCAGGTGTCCTCGCTTTCTCTGTTTGTCTTTGGGATAGTGGTGGTAACTGCAGGTTGCCAGAACAGCACCTTCTTCCTCTCCAGAGGTCTATGCCCAGAGCATGGCTGGAAGTACTGAAGGACTTGCTCAGCCCACACTCCAGGTAATCCAGAGCATTCTGCAAAGAGAAAAGCCACTGAAGTTCTGCAAACAAATGGTTTCTCCACGAGAGTAAATCACATGCAATCGTTCTGTATTGCAGGTACAGCTACTTGCAAAAGATAACTGTATAAAACCCTGGCAGAGTTTGACTGCACTGCATTCTTGCATTTTCAAGCTCATTCACAACTTGATAAAACATTTGTAACATGTCCAAGCTAAATTCAACCCAATTCTAACCTAGCTGAACACTTCAATCATCCAGGTCACTTTGGTGACATCAGCTTTTTCTGATAACATTCCACTCAACATCTTTCACAAGATTCCTCTCCACAGCACAAATGTTTTGGTTTGCCTCTTGTTTTTGTGATGGTTCACCAGGCAAAGAAAGCTTACAAGAACAATGAGTTTGGATATATGCCAAACCATCAGCTAACGCAATGTGAATTTCCACTGAGTCTACCTGGCCTAAGCCTATCCTTTCTAAAAGAAAGTCTCTGTTTCTCTGAGAGTTTCCACTTCTTTCTATGCCTCTATAATCACAGAACTGGCTGTCAGCCTTTCCAAGAAGAGCAAGAAGGCTCTTTGTGTTGGTCTTGTAGAGTTTAGCTAGTCCAACAGAATTGTTCAATTCCAGTAAGGCTATCTCTGTACTGTGCAATGAGTTGAAGCTGAAGGGTTATTACAATAGGTGTGCATATATGTAGCAACCTCTACATTCTTACTCTTCTGTTCGCTTCTGAATTTTGATCTCTTCCCTGTTCTCCCCACCCTTCTGAGCTTTGAAAAATAAATGAGTGGCTTAAGTTTCCATAATCACTCCTTAGGTCCTTCAGGGCGTGCTGGTGCAGATTCACGAAGTTACTAAAGCATCAAAATCATCTAGACAGAAGTTGAAATATTTGGTCTGCTGTGCTTCCAAAAATAGGCCAGAGAGCTTCAGACCCAAACCCTACTCTTACAAAGCACAAATTCTAGCCAAAATACTCCTAAAACCCCATAAAGGGATTCAATGGAAGGTCTCACTTGACTGGCTTTATTAATAATTTTTTTGAGACTTCAATTGTCTTGTTAACACTTAGACACTTAGACACACTGCTGCACATTTCTTAAGCTCCCGTTAGATATCAGATGTCTGTTTTCATAATCAGCAAAGACTGAATAGACTGTGGCAACCCTACCAGCAGGTGCAGGCAAAGTGACTGCGAAGCAGCACAGCATGTACTGTGAGACTGTAAAAGAATCACTCAGCTGCTGGAGGAGTGCTGCAGGATGCACCAGCTCTCACGCTCTACTCCTCCCCTGTATTTCCACGTACATTTTTGTGGCTTTCCATTTTTGGAGGGCCCCAGCTGTGACAAGCAAGGCAATTAATGTTGTAGTTATCACGCCATCATTACAAACTGCTGCATTTCTCCAGAGAATGGGAACTGGCTTTTAATTAATAGAAGATTATGATGACGATTAACAAGCATAGTAATGGAATAACATGCATCATCACATTAGATGTTCAGCAACTACCACAGCAAGAGATGCTGAACTGCTTGTAAGCATAGAAGTACAGCACATGCACAAACACAGGATCCAGAACAGAGCTTCCCCAAGACATAGAAACGTCCAGCCCTCTCACCTGCCATTATAACACTGAGCAAAGAAGAACTCTTCAGAATTCATAGCGTGTTTGTTTTATTTACTGCTTAATGCACGAACTGCAAACAACTCTAAGAAAATCAACGAGTCACTGAAGCAAAACCAGCTGATACAAAGACAAAAGAGACTTTTGACCTTACTTTCACAGAGTATTGGGAAAAGCACATCACGTTTTTGAAGAAATGTACCTCATCTGCAGTCACTGCCATGACACTTCGGCTTTTCTTCATTATTGAGATTAAGGTGTTCCCCACTAATAAGAACTTGCTGTTCAATTCAACTTCTTCAGACCAGCAGCCTGAAAGAAAAAACAGCTGCAGCTTTATTTTTGAATAACAACCCATTTTGGGTAACAAAGTAGGTAGCTAACTGCTGGTATCACGGCTGATTGGTAACTTGCTCATCACTTCCACCTTAACACCTGGCAGCTGATGTTAGGCAAGTGTAGCTCTCCATTAGGGAAAGGCAATTTAACACCTAGTCAAATCATGTGAAATGTAATTGGTGTTCATAAGGCTCTGCAGCCTAAGCAAGACCAGAACATGCACAGGAATATGGGATCAAAGCTAACAGGTTCTGCTTACAAGGGATTTTTCTTTAACTGAACCCTTTCCAGACGTACAGAAAAAGGCTTGTGCTGGCTCTGACAGAAGCCAGTCTGAAAAACTGTAATTCAGAAAACGAACTGCATTTCTATGCAATTCTAAACTTGAACAACAGCTCACGGCCATTACAATGCCATCCTGGCACACACAGCAACACAGCCACTCTGATCCCACCGAGCACCCAGGTGGCAGCAGGGAACAGCAGCACAAGGAGGGAGCAAACCCAGTGCTCCCAGCCCTCCGCTCTTGCTTATTGCTCACCAAAAGGCTGTGTTGCAAGTTGCACAGCAAGAACACTGAAGGTTTTCCTTTTATTTCCCTGACAAATGAGGAGGCCTGCTGTGCCACTTCAGTGTGCAGACAAGGCGCTGTGCCCTGCTCCGAGGGGCTGCAGCACGGCCCTGCTTGGGGTTTGCTGCTGAAGCCCCAGCTGTGCAGTGGGAAATGCTTTGGGGGCTTGTAAGATGGCATCCACTGTGCCAGATCGGGGAATCTGAGCTGCGTTCAGCTCATCTGGCCGCACTGCACTGCAGGCTCAGGAGAGCAGAAGGCAGCCCAGGCTGCCTGCCGAGCAGAGCCCTCACACAATGCCAGTGCCAGAGCCATCTCACTGCAGCCCTGTGCTGTTTGTGTTTCCCGGGGCTCAGATGTCCATGCACACCTACTCCTATGGCAGCCAAAGGCAGGAGCTCTGCAGCCCCTCCAGGCACACACAGCCTGCAGCAGTGCCAGCACAAAGGGCCGTGCTCCATCCTGTGCTCTGGCACAGAGAGAGGCCCTGAGGGGCAAAAGCTGGGGCAGGCCGAGGTGCCCAGGGCTGTCTGATGTTGTGCCTCAAGGAGTGAGAAGTGAAAGCTGGGCTGGTCAGGAGAAACTGCACAGAAACATCTTTGTAAGGTTCACAGCCTATTAGTGGCCTAGTAGTCACACTGCAAAGCAGAACAGAACTGCAGAATAAATGGAACGATTTTAATCCATCTTCAACAATAGTGAGAAGCTAAACAGCCGTGTTATAAAAAGAATCCCAAAATGACAGTGGACAGACAGCAAATGAGATGAGACACGGGTAAAGATGACAGCGCCAGCGCCATGAATTCACAGACTAGGGAAATCAATTCTGGCGTGACTACTTGCTGCCAAAAATATGCATTCCTCCACAGCATACAGACAAAATTCTTGAGAAAGAATAAAAGGAGGAAGCAGTCTCCCAAGCAGCAGAACGAAGCAGGGTGCAGCTTTCTGGCAGAGCTGGATCCTACAGTGCTTCTTGGACGTGGTCTGCAGGCACGGTGGGGGTGGGCTGGGGCTGGGCTTGGGGATCTCAGATGTCTTTTCCAACCTGGATGATTCTATTACAAGTACAAACCTGCGGGCTCAAAGATGGGTCTGCTGTGCAGGCAGAAGGATGCCGACAAGGCACAGGTCTTTGGGTTGCCAAGCTAAAAGAAAGAACTGTTAACACTTGGTGGGTTACGCCATGCAGGAAGACTAATACAACTATAAATAGCTCATATACGAGTGGTGATAATAGCTCACTGCATTTATACCAGTGATGAAGAATCCTTCACATTCTGAAGGAAGACACGGGAGTCGTAGAGTCACTGAGGTGGGAAAAGAGCTGTAAGATCCCCAAGTGCAACCCCAACCCATGAGTGTGCCTCTCGTGGAAGCACCAGTGAGAAATACCACGAGAACTACCTAGCTCAGGAGGCGTACCAAAGAGAAGTAACAGAGCAGCAGAAAAAGAAAACAAAAAAGAAACAGACCGAGGAAAACATCTTTGGAAAATAAAATCCAAGAGATGTTCTGAAAGAGAGTCCAAGGGAATGTGCAGCTGAACGCCGGGATCAGAACAGACACTGAGGAAATGTGGAGGGATGGACCACACGTACAAGCAGACTGTATGGAACCCCTTATACCACAACATCCTTTCCTTTATAACTATTTATCAATTCGTTGGTGCAAGTTTAAGCAGAACACTGAAAATAACACGATTTAAAAAAAAAAATAATGCGGACTGCATTTCTGAAAAGGCCACCAAGAAAATCTGAAGGCTCCCATTAGCCATGACTAAAGCTGCTGTTAAACACCAGCCCATTCTTTTATTATGTGTTTCTGACATGTGGGATGAAGATCAGGGGGGGGAGGGAAAACAAGTAAAACAATGCAAATTCCCCACCCCACAGAGGCTACATCAGAATTCCTTTTTGCCAGGCACATTTTCTAATTCGTGCCACCTTCTGTCACAGGCAAAGGGCTTCTCTCTTCTACCCACATTACCCAGAAAGAAACGACATCCCAGTGGGCTCCGTGTGGCCAGCAGGGAACGCCTACGAGCAGCAAGGTTCTGCAGCAGGTTTTAGGTTGCAGCCTTTCAGTGCTGTGGCTGGGTCCAATCCATGTGGCCAGCATGTATGCTAGGCAGGGTACGAGATCTCTGCTCCAACTGAGCTGACCTAGTTCTTACTCCTGAGTGTTGCTGTGCTGGCTGACCACGCTGTTTGAAAATGACAACAAATGCTCCTGTGATTTCAGGGCGGTGAAGCCTTAGACTGAGGGTGTGAATTAACAGCAGGGTTCAAGGCTGGCAACTGACAGCGCCGAGGATAAAACTACAGGGCTGCATGTGATAAAGTCTGCTTTTCCTACACGCTCTTAAAAATAGCTATTCAACTCATCCAGCGCGAAACCCACTATTTAAAGATATTGCTAAAGTGCATCTCAATGTGCAAACTGTTTTGATTTGCAGTTCCAGGCACACATTTCACCACGCCACTGCCTTCCTGCCCGTTCTGGTGACAGGCAGACCAGCCTCACCTCCTGGACGCACGGATGAGCGGGGCCAGGAAGATCACTTCTCTGCTGCTCACGCTGTGCTAGAGCTTTGGATCAGAGACAGGTTCTGCAAGCAGGGCTGTTCATCCGGCTGCTTTCCTTTTTCAAGAGGGCAAGAGGCAAAGATTGAGAGACCACAAACCAAACCCTAGGAGATGAGGACCCTCACATCTAGGCAGTGCTGTGCCCCTTCCATCCAGCTCCAGCAGTGCTTCCAAGAGCACATGTGTCACCAGCACTGCATTCATCCCAGCAGCCCAACGCTGACCCTGACAGGTCCTGCAGAACCCGGAGATGGTCAGAGATAAAAACAGCAACTGGAATGCTGACTGAACAGAGAAGCCTTGTAAAGGAAAGGGCTGCAATGAAGGGGTTTATCTGATCGTACAGATAATTGCATCATTTGTGAGCTCAAATTGCATTCAAACAACCCAATTCTCTGCAGAGATCACCTGAACTTCACAGGGCCACCAGATAGGGTGACACAGACAGACAGGGCAATGTGGGGTGACAGTCACCAGAGAATGCAATAATCCCACATCTACTCCTCCCAGACAAAGCACATGGGCTTGTACTTCAGATCTGGAAACAGCACAGGGAGAAAAAAAAACCTTACGTGGACCTAAATTTAGGTAAAAGCAAGTTGAGATATCACTAGCAGTGACGCCAGTGACAGCTTTGCCTTTTAATAAAGCAGCCCCTTGATGACCCAGGACCAACAGCAAGGCAAGGCCACAGCTTTCATACTTTGTACTGCAGCTGCAACGCAACAAAACTGCAGATTTACCAGCAATTGATAAGAACAAGCAATTGTTTTACAGAGGATATCCCACGTAGATATTTGAGACAGTCCTGTCAGAAGGACGATGCTGCAAGTAAAGAACCTGCAATAACTTCCCTGCCCGTGTTACCGCCGGGGAAATTATCCTTATTAACACAGCACCTCAATGTTCATTAGGAGGTTGCTTACTGCGATATCGCTGCGGCTAAGCGGATTGCAAAGACTCATCTTTTCTCTGGCAACTTAATCACTGAAGCTGAGAATAACCATGTGGGTTCATCCCAGAAATCACAGCCCGAGCAGAGCAAAGAGCTACAAAGACTACCTATTCTATTATTTTTTTCTTTTTTAAATTAGATTAATGACTTTAAAATTGTATCTCCCAAACCCTGTCTACTCTTGTGGTCAAAGTCAATTCATTTAGAAACAGCCTGGGCTGTGACAAAGGCTGCAGTTTGCTGGTGGTACCCAGAGCATCCAGGACTGCCAAGGTCGTGCTATTAAAAGACACACTGCGTACCTTCCTTGTTCCTGTGCCAATGACAAGCAGAGCCTCCCACTCCTCGGGCTGCAGCTGAGCACTCGGAGAGCACAGAATGATTATTAATTATGCTTTAAAAAAAAAAAAAAAAAAAAAAAGTGTTCATTTAAAAATACATCAGAAGAAAAAAAAAAAACAAAAAATCAGGGTGTCAGAAAAAGGAGTGTTGTTCCCTCAGCCTTGTGGATAGCCAGCAACACGGGACATCCCTGCATCACCAGCACACAGCACCTGCCCCATGTCACTGATGTACTCCTTGCTCTCCTCAACTCACCCCACCATTGCTTTAGTGACAAGAGGAGAAGTTCTAAAGTCCTTGGGGGTGCTTCTCTCCGCTGCAGCTCAAGAGAGCCCAGGTCAGGCAGCATGCAAGCAGGGCTGCCCTGCTGAGAGTGATGGAGCCTTCAGAGAGCTGCACAACCGAGCCTAGAAAGAAACAGCATCCTGAACAGAGAAACAGAGAAGGGCACATTGCTGCTACTCTTGCAGTAGTGCAAAATCAGAATTGCAAAGCGTCCCTGGAAAAGTGGTGCTGA